TATTTTTATCAAATTTTAATTTCAAGTAAAAGAAAAATAAAGCTGTAGTTTTTAAATGTTAAAGCAGTGAAATTGATCAATTGTTTTTCTAGATGCACACTTCTTGAATTTAAATATTAAAAAAACCGAGTTATTTTTTGCAAATTACTTTAAATTTAATTGTAAAACAATTAGATCAGCTTATAACAGAGAATAGGTCCAGCTCCAAAATTTTTTTACTGGGAATCCTTAACAAAAAAAAAAATGGAAACTCTCATCTCTCTTACAACTTAATTTATCTCATCTTGAGGCACGTGTCTGTTTAAAGTACACGCCTCAGCATCTTTCAGTATCGTACAAACTACCACTCACTGGTCAAATTTTGTTTGTATTCAGGGCCAGGGTTTGTGTTAAAAATTTTTTTTTTCGGGGGGGGGGTAACACTTTTTTCTAATGTTTTTTTACACTTCTAATGCTTTTTTTGCTCCTATTTTCAGGTCAAAACCCCAAATGCTACTGCGAGTCATTGTGTCGGAAAGAGGTCAGACGTCTTGCAGTTGAGGACATTCCTGCAAACATTGAGGAACTGTACCAGGGGTTTCGAACCAGCCTTGGTTTTGTGGGGGTTTTTTTACAGTTTGAGGACCCCGATTTCAACAATCAGTTGTGCAACCTAACAGACATCAAAGACCTTCCTAAGGAGCGAGCGACTGTAAAAGTAATATTCACAGCAGATGACTCTTCAGATTCTACTCTGGACACATACAGCCTTCCTTCTGTCAGTAGTGGGGATACTGTTGAATGGCCTGATCCCTTCCCAATTCCCCATTTTTCACATGATGTGGAACTGCAATTAAATGAAGCAAATAATAGATACACTAAAGATGGATCTGTGATGGTTATTTCCAAAGGTTTAAAAACTGACATCCTTGACACACTTGCAGACATCATGTCAAAAATCAGTGTGTATCCTGAGAGGCAGCATTATGAAAGAGTGGCCAGAGCACTGGTAGAGAAGCATCCCTGTCTGCGAGATCCAGGTTCTGAAAAGGGATGGTACTCATGGTTTCACAGCCTGAAGTTTAAACTTGGAAACTACCGGCAAAAGTTAAGTGCAGCTGGATGTTCTGAAGTGGTCATAAACAAAAGAAAAGGAGAAGGTTTGAAGGGACAAAATGTCAAGAGGTCAAAGAAGGGGGAGGTGAACTACTGTCCTGATCCACCAGAAGGACAAAGTCTTGAAAACATGGAGGAGAAACGGAAAATAATGGAGGCTGAAATGCGGAAAAAAGATCCTGATCACCAATTCGTAGAGGATCTGATGGTCGCCACGTTTTCCCAACGTAGAAAAGAGATAGTTGGAGATCAACCACTCATCGCAGAGGTCCTTTCCCGATGGCCAGCTCTGTTCAATGAGAGACAGGTAACTGAACAACTGTGGATTAATTGCACAAATAGACATAATTGTTATGTCTCCCACAGTGTACTGTGTCCTGTTGAGAAATGTGTTGAATTATATTTTGTGTACTCTTCAGATAAAGGCAGAATTCAAAAGAATTGTCAACACAGATCTTCTGCAATCTTTTCTTGATGGGCTTGACAGCTTGGTCCCAAGACTGCTGGAATTATACAAATCAGCAGCAAGGTCTGGAAAGAAGCAGGCCCTTAAACGCATTTGGACTGCCTTGTGAGGGATGTAAGTGGATAAACGGATGACTAGAACTGTAGACACTATTCGTTCTTTGAAGCTTTTGATTTTACAGCAAGCTTTTTTGTGTTGTAGGACACAAATGAAAGGAGAAGGGCTGCTGCTCTACTTGGTCTGCCACAATACATATCAGGCGAAGATCCAGCAAATGTCATCAGCAAATGTGAGGCTATACAAAATGCAGAATTGTGTGTGTATATACACTGTCAGTTAAATTTTTTTTTTTAAATAGATATTTTTTTGGCACTAGTGGCCTTTATTTATTTATTTTTTGACAGTAGGCAAACAGGAAAGAGGGGTTGAGAGAGGGGGAGACATTCGGCAAATGTCGCCGGGTCCAGGACTCGAACCCGTGACAGCCGCTTCGAGGACTGTAGCCTCCGCATATGGTCGCGTGCTTAACCCCTACAACATGAGCGCCGCGCCCAGTCAGTTTTATTTTTCAAACTATTTTATTATTTTGCAGAGTAGCTGTGTGTATGCTTGCTCATGTGCGTTTGCAGAGGCTAGAGTGGTGTATTTACATTGCAGTCAGTGTTTTACCTGTTGTATATGGCTCACAGCATGTTTACAGTTTGTATAAACAGAGCATATTGCGATCACAGAAACAATGATAACAGATTTGAGATGAAGCAAATATACATACAGAGGCGTGATTCCTGATTTCTTACTCTTTTTCTTGCATGTTTGTCACACTTAAGTGTTACATCAAACAAACGTAAATATTAGTCGAAGACCGCCCCCGCCACCCCCAATTGCTCAATTGCTTTTTGAAAGAAAGCAATTGAGCATTTAGCTTTAGCTCCCTGTCTGCTCCTTTCTGTTGCTATCCCTCTATCTGAATAAAAGTGTCAAGGTCGTGTTTTCTGGCGGACCAAAGCGCAGTCAATAGCTGGGTAGGAGCATGTTGTAAAGTTTAAAGTCTTTATTGAAAGGCTTCTTCACAAAAACGTAGGAAGACGTTGCATAGTCCAGATTCAAAAGGTCTCCAAAAACATAGCAAATATGTAGCACAATCACTGCAGGAGTAAACAGGAGCTGAGCCAAAACTTACATGAAGCCACTGCAGGAAAGTAGCACAAAAACTTAGGCATAGGTACAGTAGTGGACACAACAGGCATGATCGAGGGTGACAAGACAGGAGGAACCAGCGAAGAACAAAGAGAACCAGAGAGCTAATAAACAAGAGGGGAGTGAGGTAAGAACCAATGAGACACCGAGGCAGGTAATCAGGAGAGATAGAGATCAGGTGTGAACCAGACTGTAGAGAACTGAGGGAATGTGAATAGTTGCTAAGTTGACCAAAACTAGAAAAGGGAATGAGAGAGAAACTAGTCTTAAAAAACAAAACTAACACTGCATAAACCAGAACCAGGAAAACAGAAGTAAGCGAAGCTATCAACATAGATGAATAACCAAAGGAACATAAGAACCTAGAAATAATAATTAACTACAGTCAAACAGAGAAACTAGAGGGAACAGAAGAACACTACAACCTAAGATTTATCCAAAGAAACCATACAGAAATCCAAAGTACAAACATAAACAAAACTAAACACTGACTGACCTAAACAGGGAATGAAGCAGAGGAAGAGAGGACTAAATAAATACAAACTAAGATGTAAACAATAACTAAAGCTGACTTAACAGGAGGTAGAACTAGGACTATAGAAACCAACACAAAAAGGGAACCAAGACGAGGAGGAACAGAGAACGAACTAGTAAACAAGAAGAAAGCAATGTGAACCAATACTAAACCATAAATAAACACAAAGATACTAAATGAGAATAAAAAATAGAGAATACAAGGAAGACAAGGGGACTAGAATAATACGAGGACAAGAGAACTAAACAAACACTAGGAGGCAGTAGAAAGAAATAAACAACCAAACAAGAGTACAAAAGCAAACTAAAGCCAAAACACAAAACCACAACAAAGTCCAGAATGTTGTACCCCGACAAAAAGCAGCTATGGATTTCATTTTCTATGGCAAAACTGGTTATCCGTACGCATAACTATCCTTTTTCATCCTCAAATAGTGCCTGCGTTTCATCGTTTTTTGTCGTTTTGTTTACACTAGTCAAGTTAGCGTATGTTGGTGGGTTGATTTTATTATGAAATTCACCGGAGCTCTCTCCTGTCTGGCTTCCTGTTTGGCTGGTGTGGAAATATAAATGCCTTATTGTTAGAAGTGTGGAAATATAAATGCATTATTATTAGTAGCTAAGACTAAGATATATTTGGGAGTTTGCTGCTTATAGATTGATTATTATTAGGAGTTTTTAGTTATGCTTTTGAGAATTAGAAAAATCCTTAAACAGTAGCTTCTAGTGTGATCACACAATGAGTGTTTATTATTCAAGGTTAAAGCTGTATCGTAAGAAACCGGTAGTGTATTGGGGAGGCATGGTACTCCTCTCCCTGAAGATTCCTGAAGATGTGTGGGAAACAATTCTTTAATTAAATGATGAAATGTATCTCTGTTTCTTTGATACTGTTGCTGGGGAGACATCCACAGACAGAATTATTGTGTATGTGTACTGTATAGCAGCGTGGGGTATAAAATGTAATGAAACACAGCCCCAGTCAGACAATACACAGAGGTTTCCAGGTAGCAGTGTAAGTGTAATGTCTCCCTCTCTGAATTCAGACTGGTTTTCATAAACTTGTGGAAACGTACAACTGATCTCTGACTTTTGACTCTGACTCTGAGAGGTGAGGAGTAATGTAGGAGTTAACGGACGGCCAGTAAAGTTTTCCTACCTCGACAGTTTGGTGCCGTGACCCGAATTTGGCACTAACTAAAGGATAATTAATTGACTACGAGGTGGACATCGTTCTACAACACCACAGGGTCGACCCAAAACAAAAGGTAAGGAGATCTATATTTATTCTCCTTTTGCCTGCTAATAGTGTAGATGGTGTTGTGAAATAGATATCTGTTTTCTCTTAAATTTACAGTCCTGATCAGTTTTGGGTAAATATATTTGTTCGTTGAAATAACGTAGGGTTAGATATTATGTGTTGGGTGAAATATTTGTTGTAACATACTTTTCACCGAAGATACTTGAATGGTGACGGTGTTGAAGTAAATAAGTTCCGGATTTGGCAATCCAAACTCAGTCCTGATGAGGACTGGGGTATTTAGGCTGGGGTTAGTAAGAGCCTGCCCAAGGGACTGAGGACGCCTCTAAGTGGCCAGGGATAGGACCCCGAGACCCTGAATTGGCAGGTGAGGGAAGACAGCCCGAGATACTTGAATGGTGAGGACTGTAAGAACAAAATTAGGTAAAAGGAGTTTCAGGGAGGGGCTGCACGGTGGCGCAGTTGGTAGCTCTGTTGCTTTGCAGCAAGAAGGTCCTGGGTTCAATTCCCGGCGGGGGTCTTTCTGCATGGAGTTTGCATGTTCTCCCCGTGCATGCGTGGGTTCTCATCGGGTACTCCAGCTTCCTCCCACAGTCCAAAGACATGCCTTCTAGGTTAATTGGTCACTTTAAATTGCCCTTAGGTGTATGAATGAGTGTGTGCATGGTTGTTTGTGTGTTGCCCTGCGATGGACTGGCGACCTGTCCAGGGTGTACCCTGCCTCTCGCCCATAGATTGCTGGAGATAGGCAGCAGCTCCCCCGCGACCCACTATGGAATAAGCGGTAGAAAATGACTGACTGACTGATGAGTTTCAGGGAGTCAACAGGGGATTGATTCCTAGGTATCAAACCGGGTTTGGCATCACAGCGGTCAGACCAGGAGAGATTGAAAAAGTCCTGCTGAGTGGAAGGGTTTGAAGCCCTCCGCGCACGCAAGCTATTTATCCTGTTGTATTTGTATTTGTCTAACTGGATTTACTGTGCATATGAGTGAGAACAGAATAAAATTGAGTGGCTGCGAATGGCTGTGAATGGCTGCACTTGAGTGTCAGTGATTGTATAAGCGGTGATTTTATTATAAACTGTACTACCATATATAATGCACTGAGTTTGAGTGATTGTATAAGCGGTGATTTTATTATAAACTGTGCTAAGTGTAAAGTTGAAGCAAAAAGACGCAGGGAAAAGAGAGACAGCATGGGGCCGTTTGTTGGTTTGGTGGCAGGGATTGATTCACTGCAGTAAGGAGAGAACACAAATGAAGCAGTCAGAAAAAACAGCAGTACCCCCGCCAAGTGTTCCCCCACCCTATAGTCTCACACATGGTATATATCCAGTGATAGATGTGAAAATGTTGAGCAGAGTAATGTGGCTTCTGGCAGTGATTGGTTGAGTGAAAGAGCTGAAGTAGGGCCTGAGACAAAAGCACAAGAAACGCTTAGACTTTTAAGAGGGGTTACACAATTGGAATCTCTGACAACCCAGGGTTCAGACCAGGAAGCAGGGTCGTAGTTTAACACTCCTCTCTGCAGCTTCTGTACTGCTACCCACCCATTACCCTATTAAGATAGTGTCTCGCCACGGCCAAAATTGAATAGATTAAAAAATTATCTAAAAAGAGGAAATCAGGAAAATCTAATAAAAATAAACACAACTCAGACTAAAAATAAAAATAAAAACATTAAATGTGGCTTACTGTAACATAAGATCTCTCTCTTCAAAGACTTTGCTAGTTAGTGACCTGATTTGTGACATCAGATTGATTTACTTTGCCTCACAGAAAACCTGGCTGCAGCAATAGGATTATGTTACTATAAATGAGTCAACTCCTACTAATTATTTAAATTTTCACATTCCTCGAAATACTGGGCGAGGAGGAGGAGTAGCAACCATCTTTCAGTCCGATTTATGATTAGTCCCAGACCAATCAATAGCTACAACTCTTTTGAATATTTAATCCTTAGTTTTCCTCATCCAAAATGCAAAGCACTAAAAACCACTTCTTTTGTTGTTTTTGTACCGTCCACCAGGCCCCTTACTCTCAATTTTTAGATCAGTTTTCAGACCTTTTATCTGATTTAGTGTTAAATACAGATAAAGTTATTATAGTGGGGGATTTTAACATTCATGTTGACACTGAAAGTGATAGCTTAAATATAGCCTTTAAGGTATCTTAGACTCAATCGGCTTTACTCAAAACATTAACAAACCTACCCACGTTTGTCTTCATTCTCTGGACCTTGTGTTGACATATGGCATTGAGTGTAAAGACATAACAATATTTTTTCCAACCTGGGGTGTTGCCCTTTTTTA